ATATATCCCCTCTTTCTTGGATTTTCTTCCCATTTAGATCACCACAGAGTGTTGAGTACAGTTCCCTATGTAAGAACTGACTAGTTATCTATTTTATACACAGTGTTGATAGTGTATATATCAACGGAGTTATATATCAACTGAGTGTATATATCAATTGAGTTAACTCCAATCTCCCAATCCTTTACACCCTCCCTTCTCCCCTTGGTATCCATATGTTTGTTCTCTATGTCAGGAGCAGAAGGATATAAATGACCTTGTTAAACTAATCTGGGGTTGAGGTTGTGTGAGTGATTAAAAACAGTTTAAACATACAAAAATAATAATATAATATTAATGAGATAATTACTTTTACATCATGTGCATTGTTGTGTGCATAAAGACATCAGAAAATATAAGAATTGTATATTGATCTACTGACTTGGAGGGTAGTCCATGATACAGAATTTAAGTGAAAAAAGTAAACTAAACAAAATCTCATATTTCAGTTAAAACATACTCTTTCACACACCCACACACACCCACATAACAAACAATCCAGAAAAGCCAAAGACCAAACTTGTAAAAGGAAAAGGAATCAGGTAGAATTATTGCAAAATCACACCTAATGAATATCTGGTGAGGGTCCACCGCTGTCTCTGTGCAGTTCAGCCCCACAGAGGGCCACCGTCACCACAAACATAAATCCCCTAAAGCCCTGTTGTCATGAAGTCAGCCCTGCCTTTCAAAACTGTGTTGCCAATGCTGTCATTACCATCGGCTGATTTCATCCTCTCGTGGACTCCCAACCACTGGACCAGCAAGGAAGCACCTGTATTTTTATTAATTTAGAATGTTGCCTTTGTGTTGAGTCATTGTATTCACTAAGACTGCTGTTCATGTTTCACTGAATTTTGAAAACACGGTAAAGTTTGTATATATTTTTTAAACTTTATACATTTAGAATCAAAATACTGAAGTCTCAGCTCTACCACTTATAAATCGTAATTTGGAACAAGCATGAACATCTCTGAGCCTCAGTTCATCATTCGTGAGATGGGAACTAGGAGCCCTTTCCCTAATCCCCTCACTGTTTTTCCCTGAGGAACACACAGCCTGACAGACGCAACAGTGCGGAGAAAACTGCAACACGACCTCTAAGAGCAATCGTGACACCCGGCAAGTCCTCTCTATTAATGTGTGAAGTGGGTCTACTGAACCTCATGCAACAAGGGGCCTTCAAACATCCCAGGTGATTCCACCAGTCTCCCACTTATTGAGAAAGAGGGAGTCTCTGCCTTGGAATGTATAGCTTCTCCACTGAGTGAGCTTTTAATATTTAAAGGTGTCTATTTCGATGGACATGAGTTTGAGCAAGCTCTGGGTGTTGGTGATGGACAGGGAAGCCCGGCGTGCTGCAGTCCATGGGGTCACAAAGAGTTGGACATGACTAAGTGACTGAACTGAACTGAACTGATTTCATATACCAAACCCAGCATATAAAGCAGCAACTTCATCTGGTGCCAGGCTGACGATACAGGTAAATTGTGCCAGATTTGGGGAAACACTGTATCTGTCCTCAACAGGGACATCAATTCACCAGAGTCAAATTTCAGTTAATGGGTGCTTTGCTTGTTGTAGCTACTACACAATTAAATGCATGATTGAATCAATAGCCATTTCTTATTGTTGGAATCAATGAATATTTCCTGCTCAATCTTGCCCCTCAGGTGCTGAAACCAAGAACCATGTACTTGAATGTGCTTGCAAAGATTAAAAGTGAGTTGTGTGTCCTCTTTGACATAAATCACAGCAAGATCCTCTTTGAGTAGTGAAAATAAAAACAAAAATAAACAAATGGGACCTTGAAACCTAAAATATTTTGTATAGCAAAGGAAACAATAAACAAGATTAAAAGATAACCCTTGAAATGGGGGAAAATAATTGCAAATGAAACAACTGATAATGGATTAATCTTAAAAATATAAGAGCAGCCCATATAGCTCAATACCAGAAAAAAAAAAACAGTCAATAAATGGGCAGAAGACCTAAACAGACATTTCTCCAAAGAAGACATAGAGATAGCTAATAAACATATGAAAAGAGGCTCAGCATCATTAATTATTGGAGAAACGTAAATCAAAACTACAATGAGGTATCACCTCACACCAGTCAGAATGGCCATCATCAAAACATCTACAAAAAATAAATGCTGGAGAGGATGTGGAGAGAAGGGAACCCTCTTGCACTGTTGGTGGGAATATAAATTAATACAGCCACTATGGAGAATAGTATGGAGGTTCCTTAAAAAAACCAGAAATAAAGCTACCACCTGACTCAGCAATTGCACTACTGGGCATATATAATAAGGAAACCATAATTGAAAAAGACACATGCCCCGATGTCCATAGCAGCACTATTTACAATAGCCAGGATATGGAAGCAAACTAGATGTCCATCAACAGATGAATGGATAAAGATGTGGTCCATATATACAATGGAGTATTGCTCAGCCATAAAAAGAACAAATTTGAGTGAGTTCTAGTGAGGTGGATGAACCTAGAGCCTGTAATACAGAGTGAAGTCAGAAAGAGAAAAACAAATATTGTTTATTAATACGTATATCTATGGAGTCTATAAAAACAGTACTGATGAACCTTTTTGCAGGGCAGCAATGGAGACGCAGACATAGAGAACAGACTGTGGACACAGTGGTGGCAGGAGAGAGTGGAACGAATGGAGGAAGCAGTATAGACATGTGTGCACTATCATGTGTTAATCAGAAGCAGGTGAGAAGTTGTCATGTTACACAGGGAGCCCAGCCAGGAGCTCTGTGATGACCTACAGAAGTGGGGTGGGGAGGAGGAGGGAAGCTCAAGAGGGAGTGGATGTGTATATGACTGACGTGTATTGTCATATGGCAGGAACCAACACAACATTGTAAAGAAATTTTCCTCCAATTAAAATATAAGTTTTATTTTAATTTTATTTTTTTTCCATTTATTTTCATTAGTTTGAGGCTAATCACCTTACAACATTGCAGTGGTTTTTGTCATACATTGAAATGAATTAGCCATGGATTTACATGTATTCCCCATCCCGGTCCCCCCTCCCACCTCCCTCTCTACCAGATCCCTCTGGGTCTTCCCACTGCACCAGGCCCGAGCACTTGTCTTATGCATCCAACCTGGGCTGGTGATCTGTTTCACCCTAGATAATATACATGTTTTGATGCTGTTCTCTTGAAACATCCCACCCTCGCCTTCTCCCACAGAGTCCACAAGTCTGTTCTATACATCTGAGTTTCTTTTTCTGTTTTGCATATAGGGTTATCGTTACCATCTTTCTAAATTCCATATATATGTGTTAGTATACTGTAATGGTCTTTATCTTTCTGGCTTGCTTCGCTCTTATAATGGGCTCCAGTTTCATCCATCTCATTAGAACTGATTCAAATGAATTCTTTTTAATGGCTGAGTAATATTCCATGGTGTATATGTACCACAGCTTCCTCATCCATTCGTCTGCTGATGGGCATCTAGGTTGCTTCCATGTCCTGGCTATTATAAACAGTGCTGCGATGAAGCAGTTTAACTTTTTAATATCAAATAACTTAAGCTTTCATGACCCTCATAATATTTTGAGAATCTTCCAGAAAGAAGAGAGTCATAGAAAAAGTTTGTTTTTTCCTTACCATTTACATTCTATTCATTCTTCCTAATTTGAGTTTTGATTAACAGTAACTATGTTATCTTTTTAAGAGGTCATCCTTTCTCTTCCTGGTTCCCCACGAATTGGTCTTCATTCTAAAATCACTGTTAATGTGTGGTCATTGTGTATTACAAGTTTTAATGGAAGCTTTATGGACATTGGAGGATAATTACAGTATTCTACAGCTCAAGATACAGATTCAGAATGAAATACAATTTCTAAATCTCATTGTCCATTCTCTTGAGGGACTTCTTACTTACTGACTATTTCTCTTTGAACCATAAACAAATGACACATTCACGAAAACTTTTCCTCCCATGCTCTGTTGTATAAATTACAAGATCCTGAAAATATTTCATTTTTTACATAAAAAGTCAACTTTCAAAGGAAATGTTTTCTCATATGTGTTATGCAAAGAGTATAATAGAAAGAGTGGTAGACTTGAAATACGAGACTTATAGTCTATTTTAGACTTTCTTTTATAATAAAGCAGTTGTGTGGTTTTAACTAAATGAATAATATTTCTTTCAGTATTCTATCCATATGTTAAATATATATTGAAAATCTGTTGTGCTTCTTTGACTGTAGAAGGTAAGTATATATCTATGAGGTAAATATGAAACCAGGTTAATGAATGATGTTCACAGCTACAAAGTGGGGTATATTACATAGTTTTTATGGACTCTGCTATAATTGTGAAACTGGCATTTGAGTCATAGTCCTGACCACAGTAGGGAGAAAGAAAAGAGTTAGGACAGATTATCTGATTCATGCTTCCAGTGGCACTAGTGGCATTTAAGAAATCCCCCAATATGCAAGCTGTTACTTTATTGATCATTCAAAATCAGACTTTAAACAGACTGTAAACTCACACTAGTGCTACTTTATTGATTGTTAGCAGTACCGTTCATCTTCCAAGTGAAAAAATCCATAATGATAATTTTAAAATAAAGGAGAATAATTTATTTCTTAATGCTTCTCTTAAATGAGAAACATAAAGAAAACATAAGAAAATTGTGAAAATGGTGACAAAAAGACCTAAACATTGGAACAATTTGAGAGAAGACTCAGATTTCCTTCTCCATGGTGAGAAATAGGATGAGAAAGCTGCCACTAAAACTATTAAAAATAAACACACGGAATCTCCTGTCCTATGACAACCTGCACAGAGACATTGATTCTAATCAAAATTTTCTCCTCCCCAGGGTTTTCTTCAGAGCAAGTTTAACATCTTTGTTCCTCAAGCTGTAGATTAAGGGGTTCATCATGGGAACCACATTGGTGTAAAAGACAGAAGAGATTTTCCCCACATGCATGGACCCAGCAGATGACGGTTTAAGATACATGATTGCCCCTGAACCAAAAAACAGAGAAACAGCAATCATGTGGGAACTGCAGGTGCTGAAGGCTTTGGACCTGCCCTCTGTGGAGCATATTTGGATGATGTTGGAGAGGATGAGACCATAAGAGACAAAGATTGTGAGACTGGGCACAATGATAGTGATACCCACCACAATGAAAACCACCAGTTCATTCATGTAAGTACTTGTGCAGGAGAGCTGGAGCAGAGGGAGGATGTCACAGAAATAGTGGATGATGGAGTTTGCATCACAGAAGGTCAGTCTCAGCATGCATCCAGTGTGAGCCATGGCACCAGAAAATGCCATCAAGTATGAACCAAACATAAGGCTGGAACACACTTTAGGGGACATGGCAACATTATACAAAAGTGGCTTACAGATGGCCACATAGCGGTCATAGGCCATTGATGTCAACACATAGCATTCAGAAATGACAAAAAAACAGAAAAAGTAGAGCTGAGTCATACATTCCATATAAGAGATCATATTCTTCTTTGATAAAAAATCTACCAGCATTTTGGGTGTAAATACAGAAGAATAACACAAGTCTATGAAGGACAAGTTAAAGAGGGAAAAGTACATGGCAGTGTGTAGGTGTGAACTCAGCACAATTAGTGTTAACAAGCCAAAATTTCCCAACACAGTGACCATGTACATTACTAGAAACAGGAAGAATAAGAGAAGCTGAAGATCTGGTTGGTCTGTTAACCCCACCAGAATGAATTCAGCCACAAAAGAACCATTTCCAGGAGCCATTCTTCACTAAGGGAATCTGTGGACACTGGAGAAAAGGGTAACATTAGAGAACAACTCAGCCCTTCTGACAATTATCTCATCCTACTTGAAAGTGTATATACTGAGCATGTCTGAGACTAGCCAACCTGGACCCATAGATTCGCCTTTACTGTTATCATGATAGTCAGTGACATAGACATTCCCTTACCAGAGGCTTAAGACATTAATTACACAAAGAACATCGCAAACAGCCTACAGAGAGAGGGAAGTGCTGCCATATGCAAAACATGCCAGAGAAAACTAAAGAGAAGAGACATGGATGTGCCAGGATAGAATCTTCCTTCTCACATCTCATCATTTCTTCATTCACTTAAGCCCTCCCCTCACCAGTAAAATTACACTTGATCTTAGCCAAAAGGCCGAGAAGTGATCACCAGTAAAATTAGAAGGCAGATACCTAGCTCCCTGGTGCTGACCTCTAATACATTATAGACATGGTGGAGTGGGAACCATGGTGTCTCTAAACAAAAACTAAGGAACAAAAGGCTAGAGGAGGTTAAGTTACTGCTCCATTTCACAGAATAAAATCCATAAATGTAGAAAAGTGACAGTCCATTCAGAGAGAAGGAACTTACTGATTGAGATACTGCATTTTCTGAGCCTGTTAATCTCTGAACCCTCTTTGATCTCCTGTGAACATACTCCCCTGACAGTTTCACTTGAATCTCAGGACTGCACACAATGGAAATGAAAGTGGCAGATCTTATACCTCTGGCCTTCCATCTCAAAACAGGACAGGCATTAAGTCAACAGAATTCAGAAACTCACCCTCTTTGGTGCTAACCCTGTAGTTCTGGAAAGGCTGTTTCAGGTTTGAGGTTCCTTAAATTCTAAAAGGATGCAGCCCAGACCGAATTTCAGATATGCCCTGGAAATCTTTCTGGCCTACACACAACACACACAAATGTTAATTTCAGATTATGACTTCAAGTCTTCTTAAGAAGCAGGGGAAAATTTACAGCAATGTTACCAGGTTTGCCACTTGATAAAACACGGAAGATTGAATGTGATTTAATGATGCAGCATGCTTGATTATAAACAGGGCGGAAGCTTACTCAGTCTCTCCCCAGGGAATACAGTCTATATGTGTGTGCAAAGAAATAAGGGAGTTGGGTTTACAGTCTGGACCATGTTCTCTGTTTAGTTCTTTAGGGACCCAGTATTTGAATCTAGCTTACACATCACTCCAGGGACTGTACATTCCCCAAGGCAGAGACAAAAGTAGACTCCCATTTTTCTATCATCTTCATCACTTTAGAAAAATCTATTTACAGATTCTTATTCTGTCTTTCCACATCCTAAATGGTAAATTTCCAGGGACTGCTTATAGGTTTCTTTATATCTTTACTATAGATTTTGCAAAGACCCTAGTAACTGATTTCTGTTACTATCTTTCAAGAGTTATCTCAAAAATTTTTGAGTTACTTTCTCCGTTCTAAAGTTTTTATGTTTAAACCCCTACTGGAAATTTCTAACTGAGGATCTAGCTGAATCCTTAAATGTATTAAGTTATTTCATTAACTGAGGTCATCAATTCCTTCTTATCATATGGCTTTGAGTCCTACCGCCATGCTTACTAACTTGGGCACAGTGCTTAAACTCCATGCCTCAGGTTCATGATTTCTAAAATAGTGACGATAATGATAGCATCTTTTTCATTGTACTGTCTTGATGATGAAATTAAAAACTGTACAAAAATTGGTTAGAACAGTACCAGTTAAGTGGTATATAGTCAAACAATATCAGCTATCAATACATATGTTGTCAAAACTTCCAATAGGTCCTCTGTCATAACACTCACCAGGCATTCATTTTCCCCTTTAATTCCTGTGTCCCCCTAGACACTATAAGACCTATAAGGACAAACATGTCTTCTATCTTATTACTTTTCTCACAGTGCTGTGTATAGTGCAGAGTACACAGCAGGCATGCATAAATAACTCTGTAAGTTACGTTGTTCTTTGGTGAAAACCTTCTGAGTGTTTCTCACGTTTCTCACATGCTCAGCATTAGGGTCTACAGCCACACTGACTTTAGTTTTTTATTGAACTATTGAACTACATGCTGAAATATGGTGACTCCAGCTGTTATTCTAGATTTTCCCACAAACTCCCTCTTATATGGCTATGGACACAGATGTTAGAATAAGTTCTGAAAGCACAGATCCGTTCCTTCCTAGTTTAAAATGTTCCATGATCTTAAGCTACCCAATGGGCAATTGAAACACCATAATAAAGGCACACTGGAACACTGCAATAAAAACATAACTATCAAAACTATGATTCAGTTTTGGATAAAAGTAAAGAAACTATAAAGTCAAGTGAGACGGTTTCCTTCTTAGTCTGAAAGTGCCAGGCTCTTTAACTTTTCACACTGCTCAAAATACAAGTGCCTCCAAAACACATCATCAAGATGCTTAAAAAAAAAGACAAAAACAACAGCAAATAGAATGAGAGAAATATGTTTGATAAGGACCTAGTATCCAAATGGGCTTCCCTGGTAGTTTAGTTGGTAAAGAATCTGCCTGCCGTGCAGGAGACCTGGGTTCAATCCCTGGGTCAGGAAGATCCCCTGGAGAAGGGAATGGCAACTCACTCCAGTATTATTGCTTGGAAAGTCCTATTGACAGAGGAGCCTGGTGGGCCACAGTCCATGGGGTCACAAGAGTTGGACACGACTTGGTTACTAAACCACTACGGTGTCCAAAATACGTTGGCAGGCAAATTCTTTACCTCTAGTGTCACCTGGGAAGCACATTTTTTTTTTTTAAATGAGACATAGGTTCAATCTCTGGGACAGGAAGATCCCCTGGAGGTGAAAACGGCATCCCCTTCAAGTATTTTTGCCTGGAGAATCCCATGGACAGAGGAGCCTGGCGGGCTGTAGTCTATGGGGTTGCAAAGAGTGGGACACAACTGAGCCAGCATGCACAAGTTTTTAGCATCCAAAATGCATAGAACACTCTTTCACTGAATAATAAAAAATACAATAGTCCAAAGAATGCATAGTTCCGTGGATTGAAATACAGACTCCATAAATAGATCCACATACATCAGAAACAATAATTTTGACAAAAAGACAAAGGCAATCTAAAGAAGAAATGACAGGCTTTTTACACAGTGAGGCAGGAATAATTAGATACACAAAAAGCAAATAAATATACAAAGAAACTCAATGTGTACCTCACAACAGTAACAAAATTGTCACAAAATGAATCATAGGTACTCACTTAAAATATAAAATTAAGAAGTTTAAAATAGAAAAAAGGACAAGATGGTGACAGAGTGTCCACTGACAGACAAATGGATAAATATTGGTATGGAGTACTGCAATGTTGCTCAGTCATAAAAAAGAATGAAATATTGCCACTTATGTTATGGATACCTCTAATTGAAATAAGTCAGAGAAAGACAATAATGTATGATCTCATATGTGAACTCTAAAAAACAGAACAAAAATTAGACTCACACATACAGAGAACAAATGAGCAGTTGCCAGAGGAGATGGTGTGGGGGATGAGAGAAATAGGTGAAGGGAATTACGAGGTGCAAACATCCAGTTATAAAGTAAATGTCATGGGAATACACAACATAAGAAAAACGGTCAATAAAACTATAATAATTTTGTATGAGGACAGATGGTTACCAGACTTATTATGGTGACACTTTCATAATGTGTTTAAATATTGAATCATTATGTTGTACACCTGAAAATAACATAATATTTACATCAAGTATATTTCAACAAAACCAAACAGCAACAACAACAACAAAATCTTAAAGAAGCCAAGGGCAAGAAGTGTTTTACCCATAAGGAACAGAGACAAGAATTACAGAGGGACTCTCACTGGAAACTATGCAATCAAAAAGAATGGAGTTAAATATTTAAAGTGTTGAAAAAAATCACCAATCTGTAATTTTAAATCCAATAATATTATCCTTCAACTGGAAAGTGAAATGATGACCTTCTCAGACAAACAAAATCTGAGTCTGTTGTCAACAGAACTGCCTTGCAGAAAATAAATACTAAAAGAAGTTTTTTAGGCAAATGAAATAGAATATAGGTCAGAAGCTTGAGCTGACACTTAAAAAAGAGTATCAGAGGGAAAAAGTAGTCTCAAAAAGTTTGTCTTATTCTTCTTAATTTATCTAACAGATAATTGTGTGTTTAAAATAATAGTAGCAACAATGCATTAGTAATTACAATATGGTTCTGTGAAATGAATAACATCAATGTCACAGGAGCACAGAAGGAAATAAGTAGAAACCATCCAAGCTCCCTGCACTACAGATGATATCATATAGAGTTATTAGAAAGTGGATTTGATTAAATTAAAACATGTATTGTAAACTTTAGGATAACCAGTGTAAATATTTTAAAAGAAGGATAATTAATGTATTAGGCTAGAGATAAAATGGAATAACAGAAAATGCTCAATTAAATCTGGAGAATAAGAAAACAAAGGGGAAGATTAAGAAACAAAGAATACATCATGTGCACAAGTAGAAAACACTTATAAGCATGATATTAACTCAGGTTTATTAATACAGATGGTCCCCGACTTAGGACTGTTTGATTTATGATTTTTCAACTTCACCATGGGTCTAAAGCAAATATGGGTCAAATGCCACAAGCTGAAATTCCCCATCAATCATTCGACCATGAGGGTAAACAGCCTATACTCTTTCAATTGCAAAGCCTTTGACTTTCAGCACAGTATTCAATAAATTACATGAGGTATGCAACACTTTATTATAAATAGCTTTTTTCCTTTGCATATTTTAACCAAAACAACATTCTAGCTTTATGTTAGATGATTTTGCCCAACTGTAGGCTAATGTAAGTATGCTGAACACATTGAAGGGAGGCTATGCTAAGCCACGACATAGCCCCAGAACCCCATTGTGAGTTGAGACAGCTTTGCAATCACTTTACATGTATGTCGTACAGATACACCAATAAAAAGACAGAAATTTCCATAGTAGATAATGAAAGAAACACCAAACATGCACTGTCTAGAAAAAACTTATTTTAAATGTAAAGATTTAAGTTAAGAGTAAGAAGATGGAGAAATACATACCATGGTAACACTCGAAAGAAATCTGGGGTCACTATATTAATTTCAGTAATCATACTTTAAGGACATAGGAAGCTTACCAGGGACATTTAATCTTTATTAAAAAAGAGGTATTACAGAATGATAATAATTAAGCAGGCAGAAACACTGTAAGGATCCAATTGAAACTGGGAGATGAAATAGCATCCGGCAACAGCAGTATGTACATTTTTCTCAAGCTCACATGGAACAGTGAACGGGTTTCTCTTTCACCCACAGCCTGGATGCTTGTGGTAGCTAAGAACAGCAGAAAGAGGAAAGCAGTTGCTGCAGCCTGCTGGCTCTGAGACTGGCCTTCCTGTGCCTTCCCCCCAGGAAATCCGGGGGAGAGAGGAGCCTGCCTTCTCCATCCTGACCTTTCCAAGACTTGTCCTATGACCTGAATTCCAGGAAAATTTGCTCTGAAAGTACTAACTCTGTACAAACATAAAACTATTCACTTCCTGACATCTTGATGAATATCATTTTTAATACAGCCTTGAAATTCAGTGAATTAAGGAAGAGACTCAAGTAAAGAGAGCCTAGTCTTTCAGTAAAAGTAAGTTTGTTAGGGACGGCTTTTTGACCATTAAATTTGATGTGACTATATTTAGCATTAAAAAAAGATGTTTATACCATAAGTCCCAACTCTTTTAAAAATATTTCATAGTGTTCAGTAAATAGTCCATGCATTAGTTTGTTAGGGCTATTATAAAGAAATGCTATACTAGGTGGCTTAAAAAATAGGAATTTATTTGTCACAGTTCTGGAAGCTTTAAGTCCAGGATCAAGGTGTTGGCAGGTTTGTTTTCTCCTTGGCCTGCAGATGGCCACTCTATACCAGTGTCCCCATGTGGATTTTCCCCTGTGAAGAATATTCTTATCTCTCTGTGTGTCCAATTTCCTCTTCTTAGCCAAAATGTCTCCTTCTCATAAAAATCCTTCCTGAACACCCAGTCTGCAGTAACCATGGTTACTTCCTGTACCATCTCCTTAATTCAAGACTTTGCATGGCCTTCCCATCTATACACATGTATCTGTTTATTTGCTCATAATCTGACTCCTCCTGCTGCCCACTTGCACCCCACCTCCACCTTCCCATAGACAATTAGCCTTATGAGAGCACAAACATTGCTTTGTTCAACATGGAATCTCTGCTGTTTAAAAACACAAACTGATAAAGAATAGGTGCTCAGTTTCAATTTGTTGATTAAGTAAACTATATTATTTGTACCTGATGTCCCCTGGACACCTAAAGAGAAACTTTTGAAATCTTTATTTAAAATTTTATTTCATTTTATTTATTTTTTAAAATGGGAGTATAAATGCTTTACAATGTTGTGTTAGCTTCTGCTGAACAATAACATGAATCAGCTATGTGTATACATATATCCCCTCCGTCTTGAGCTTCCTTTCCACCCTATACCCCCACCCCTCTAGGTCATCACAGAACATCAAGCTGAGCTCCTTGTGCTATATGGCAGCTTCCGACTAGCCATCTATTTTACACACAGTAGTGTATATATGTCAATGCTACTCTCTCAATTCTCCCTATCCTCTTCTTCTCTACTCCCTGTGAAAAATCTGACAATCTTACCATTACTTGATATATTACCATTCAACTTTCTCAATTTAAAACATTATAGTCTCTGAAAATAAGCTGAACAATGACAACGTCCCCTATTTTCTATGAAAGGATGAAGAGTTGATCCTCCTTTTCCTTACAGTGTTTTTTCTTATGAAGTGATTTATATAATGAGCTTAATTTATGCTATGATTTAAATCACTTGCATTTCTACTTTAATTTCTATGTTCTCCATGTCTTTATACATTGTGTGTCCATGCTAAGATGTGGCATCAATAACTAACAAAATTTTCATTCAGAATACTCTTTTCTTCAAGGTCTTTCTCAATGCAATTTGGACATCTTTGTTCCTCAAACTGTAGATGAAAGGATTCACCATTGGCCCCACAATGGTGTAAAAAATTGTGGACACTTTATCTTCATCCAGAGACCGAGCAGGAAAAGGCTTAAGATACATGAATGCAGATGATCCGAAGAAAAGAGAAACCACAATTATGTGGGAGCTGCAGGTACTGAAGGCTTTGGACCTGCCCTCTGCAGAATGGATGCGAAGGATGTTCAAGAGGATCAAGGTGTAAGAAATGGAGATGGTGACACTGGGCACTATGACATTGACACCCACCACAATGAAAATCTCCAACTCACTGATGGAGGTGCTTGTGCAGGAGAGCTGGAGGAGAGGAGGAATGTCACACATGTAGTGATTGATGATGTTTCCATCACAGAATGACAGTTGTAGCATGCACCCAGTATTGGCCATAGCACCCACAAGCCCCATTGTGTATACACCCACTTTCAGCATGAGGCAGACCTGATGGGACATGGAGACCTTGTAGAGCAGGGGCTTACAGATGGCCACGTATCGGTCATAGGCCATTGACGTCAAAATATAGCATTCATCAATAACAAAGAAGGAGAAGAAACACAGCTGAGTCATGCACTCTGCATAAGAAATGATGCTCTGACTCACAAAACTCATCAGCATTTTAGGGGTAATGACAGAGGAGTGGCAGAGATCAATGAAAGAAAGGTTGAAGAGAAAGTAGTACATGGGAGTGTGCAGGTGACGGTTCAGAGCAATAAGAATAATCAAGCCAACGTTCCCCACCACAGTGACCACATAAATTGCTAAGAAAATGAAAAAGAGAGGCAGCTGGAGTTCTGGCTTCTGTGTTAAACCCAGCAGGATAAACTCGGTCACTGAAGAGTCATTCTCTGGGGCCATTCTTCCCTAGGACATACCTGGAGAGCAGGACAGAGGGTAACGTTAAAATGAGTGCCCCGCTCTCTCCACCCAGCCCCACTCTAATGAGAGAGATCCAGAACGCGAGAAGGAACCCAGCCCACCCTTCTGTGCCTTGGTTTCCTCCTCTGTATAAAGGCTGAGGAAACTTTTAAAGACATGTATCAAAAACACTAATGGGCAAGTTCTACAGGGATAAAATTCTGTAACCTGAGGACTCATGACAGCAGTATCTCTGCTCCGCTTCTGCTCTGACAGTTACCAGGCCCACCCAATGATCAGTGGTCATCTCAGCAAAGAGGAAGCTGTCATTTCAGGGAATCCTTGACTTCCACAGATGACATTTGGAAGATGGATAACAGGACAGATAAAATTCAACACTCACCCTTCTGTATGGAGACTTCAGTGTTGGGACTTGCTACCTCTGCTTCCTTATTCTCAAGGAAGAGCAAGTGGCTCTGATGAATTTTAGAGATGAACACCCCAGAACAGAGATTCTTCTTCTTTGCTATTGTTTCTGTTTTGAGTGCGTTTTGGACTGAGAGAGTCAGAGCACAGACCTTGGTACCTCAGGCCCTGAGGTGCCATGAGTTACAGGTTGTGGTTTCTGATGGTGGCTCTGCAGAGTGTCCTCTCCAGTCTAGGGGGTGGAAATAGCATCTGCTGGTGCCCAGGGAGCCACCTGCTAATATGACCCAGGGGTTATTGTGAATTGGGAAATCCTGGGGACCTGATTAAAACTTAGAAGTCTTAGGTTTTCACTGTGTTTTCCCCAGAGATCATGATTTGTAGCAAAGAGAAATTACCTACTCTGCATTTAAGTTGAGTTCACTATAACAGTGATGTATTGGAAGTAAACCATTTTGCACACATTTTTGTTTGTTGACAAATGGGGCACATCCTCAAATAGAAATGCAGGTGACCTTTCCCGAATGCACAGCACCTACCCATCTATGAAATACTAGTCACTTATTTGTTCACTTAGTTTGTTTTCTCACATTTCTTACATACACACACATTGATATGCTCAGGTGCATTGGAATCTAAGTTCCATAAGGGCAGAGATTTTGTCTATTTAGTTCAAGGCTATTTTTGTAGCAACTTAGAGTAACATCAGGCATATACAGTAGGTATTGAAAAATATTTGCTTAATAAACACTGAAGGAATGAAAATCCCTTTTTCCCATGTTTATTGGGACCAATTTTAGATGTTACAATAGAATTATTACCCCACAGGCAATTAAGTCAATATTTTTCTTTGTAGACCTGAGTGTAGGGCAGGGAAAACATCAGTAAGTTATGCTTGGGGGCCTCAGTTCTTAGGGCCTACACTTTTGTGGGTTTCTGATAAGTACTATTTCAGATGCTGAGGAATTATTAGGGGACAATCCTATGCCTTCTAGGAGCTTATGGTTCAAGAAAAGTACACATATATAAAGAAACACTTTAGTATTTGTTACAAATAAGAAGCCTGAGTGTGGAAGAATTGATGCTTTCGAGTTGTGGTGCTGGAGAAGACTCTTGAGAGTCTCTTGGACTGCAAGAAGATCAAACGAGTCAATCCTAAAGGAATTCAACCCTGAATATTCATTGGAAGAACTGATGCTGGAGCTGAAGCTCAATACGTTGGCTACCTGATGTGAAGAACCAACTCATTGGAAAAGACCATGATGCTGGGAAAGATTGAAGGCAAAAGGATAAGGAAGCGGCAGAAGATGAGATGGTTAGATAGTGTCACTGACTCAATGGACATTAGTTTGAGCAAACTATGAGAGATAGTGAAGTACAGGGTATCCTGGTGTGCTGCAGTCCATGGGGTTGCAAAGAGTCAGACATGACAGCAAATGAACAATAACACAGTTAGTTATCATATTGAAAACTCTCTGATACAGCTGGTCTAGTCCTAAACACCCAAGAGAAACTCTAACTCATGGTCAGAGAGAACTGTGTATAAGAATATTCATAGCAGCACTATTTTTAACAGAATAAAGAAAATAAGGCTGTCCTGGTGGCTCAGTGGTAAAGAATCTGCCTGCCAATGCAGGAAACATGGGTTCAATTCCTGGGTCAGGAAGATCCCATAGAAAAGGGAATGGCAACCTACTCCAATATTCTTTCCTGGAGAATCCCATGGCTAGAGGAGACTGGTGGGCTACCGTCCATGGGGTCACAAAAGAGTTGCACACAACTTAGGGACAAAACAACATCAAAAGAAAACTGCTAGTTTTTCATCAACTGGAAAATGAGTATTTCACATTATATCCCTAAAGGGGAAAACTTAACAGTAGTCTGAATGAATGAAGTAGAACAAAACTTACCAATGAATCACAAAACCATAGAGTCAAGTGAAAAAAGCGAGTTGCTAAAAATGATCTGTACAGTACAATATTTAATGATCTTTGAATGCTTGGATAGCTACTCTCTACAATTTTTATAGATGCATAAAGTTGTAGGAAAGATGACATGAATGTAAAATTATCAACAATACATCATTAAAGGTGTTTTACAGTGAAACAAATGAGGGAATTAAGATTAGAAAAACAATTCGGGGCATATCAGTTATGTCTATAATGTGAAAGTTGGGTGATGTATACACAGGTATTTATCATGTTGTTTTGTGTTTTTTCTGAAGGGTTTAAATATTTTACAATAAAATCAATGAGACTAAAGGTAATATACATTATTCCAAATCATTGTGATATATAAAGTTAATAATACAACAAGTGTCAGTTATATGATTACATTTATTATATTAGTAACAGATGCTATTAAATGGTGAGAACAAATAAAAGCTGGTCAGGGTAAAACAATTTTTTTAAAGTTTCTTCTGGATCTTCTTATAGACCCCAATCCAGTTATAGTCATTTACATAATTCCAAACCAGACCATACAGCTGGACCTTCACACACCACATATGCACAAGCTGTTGCCATTAAGATGAACATATACTGAAAGATAAATTGTCAAATCATAGAGCCTAGGTTACACGATGTGCTTGGACGTGTGGTCTTTTTGGAGAATCTTCTTTCACGTGGGCAGAGTGTACCCGGACAATACTACGAGGCATTGCAGTACCTGCTGGTAATGAGACAACTTTGATAGAAACCCCATGTTGTTCCATAACTTGACTTTCTCTGGCAGATTTGCGGATGGTGATCAGGCTGCCAGAACCATTGATGGACTGCTTGTACTGTAAGAGAGAGAGAAATCCTGGGAAAAAGAGAAGCCAGGGGAGGGTGATGAAGGAACAATAGAAAAGTCACAGAAACACTTCCCTCCCTATGGGCCATGAAGCCCAGACCTAAAGCCTAATGGTTCCCTTTGAACTGGCCCAAGCCATTCAGGAGGGGGATGCTTTAGCAGGAGAGTGCTGGTGGCTCAGACAGTAAAAGCATCTGCCTACAATGCGGGATACCCGGGTTCAATCCCTTTATCGGGAAGCTTCCCTGGAAAAGGTAATGGCAACCCACTCCAGTACTCTTGCCTGAAAATCTCATGGCCAGAGGAACCTGGCAGTCCATGGGGTCTTGGAAGAGCTGGACATGACTGAGTGCCTGAGCACACACAGGCAGTGCTCAACTCAACACAGTTGAGAATTCTTTCCAACAGAGGCCGTGCTTCTGAGTTAGGAAGTTTAATTCCAAGGGAAACTTTAAAGACTTCTTAGAAGAGTCCCTGGTGTTTGTAGGTGGTCACTGTGCATCAGACACTGATTCTGTCTGCCCTCAGGCTGTCCTGGCATGCCACTATGCCCCCATGGCCACTGCCTCCACATGAGTGAACATTCCCTATCAGTCACTCTTTTTAGTCTTAAAGTTAAGCAGTTATCTCCACTCTGAATGGGGCAGGTATGAAAGAAAAGGTGGAAAGGAAGTGTTCCCTTGGAGGCAAGCATATTGAACATCTCACTCAGCCCACATCCTTGCAGGAACCATCCTCAGAGTGAGTCTAACTCCCCCACTGGCCCTTTAAAATGCAAAGGTTGGGAGACTTCCCTGGTAGCTCAGGCTGTAAAATGCAAAGGTTGGTAAAATTTCCCTCTATTTTCTTTCCCATCCTCTCACTCTCCCACTTTCAAAGATGGATTGGTTCTTAGCACCCATCAAGGGCCCTGAAGACACTCACCAGAGGTGAATAACAATAAAATGTTTAAGTACGCAGTGAAACTGATCCAGCAGATCTTGTAACTCAAGTAGTACACGAATTTACCTTGAGTTAGCATGTGGTGATACAGGAGGAGTGCACTGAGCAGAAGGATGCCTGATGTCTGGACAAAAGGAGAAAGAAAAATTCCTTCTTGAAAGACCCTGGCTCTCGTACTTAAGTCTTAACCTGAGATATGCTTGACTTCCAAACCCCTACAACGCACAACTGAACCTTGTCCAAAGACCCATGCCACTTGAGTGGTGGATCCAACTTGGCAGCTACGTATCTAAGCCAAAGAACTGGGAAGGCTGAGTTAGTGAGACCACAGCCTGGACCTACAAACCAAGTATGCCTCCAATCCTATGTTAGGGAAGACAGGAAGTTACCTGTGAGGAAAGCGAAGCAGGCAGTCATAATGAGAGTATATTTGGTTTGAGGAATCGTATAGGTGAATTCAAAATCCAGGAGCAAGCTATGCATGAAAGAAAGGCCTAACACCACAATCAGAATGTTCCTGACCATTTCCAGGCCATCTGTTGAAAAGAAGAAGCTGTATTGAGAGGAGGACAGATATTTCTTCTGGCTCATTTCTACTTGGGGCAAACAAATCTCTAGGTAAACATGAATGAGGTGAAACATTTGATTAAGTAATAAAGAGCAGAGGTAGGGAAAGAAAGAGGTAGGGGTCTTAAGCTAAATGGGAGATGGAACCAAAAGAAACTGTTCTCTATCTTTGTACCTCTGTAAACTTTCTCTTCTATTTTTTCAAAATGCATTTCTTGCTAAACACTCTTGTCTTCTTCTAATGGCAATGCAACATGTTTTCTTTGCTGCCAGTCACCTTTCTTTTATATCCTCACATTCTAGATGTGCTATATACCCTGTTGTTACTATCAGGGCTTCTCAGAGATTCATCAGTTAAGTCTGTGAGTTTTTAAACTTTTCTCCAAAATGTGCAAATGCTGAGCTTTTGGGGGTAGGCCTTGACTGTGTTGATTATGGAAGTGGGCACACTGCAACCACAGGTGGTTGCACTAGAGGATAATGGTGAGATGAATGGAAGTCAAGGAAGGATGAACCCTCATTCTCCACCTATCTCTTTCCATATAATATCTCTGACTGGATGGCCACAGGGAAGTACAACATATCCATGGATTGTGGCTTATCATAGGTTTTTTGGGGTCCCAACTTCAGTTCAGCTCATTCTTCTATGATGAGTCCTACCACCAAGAATATTAAGACCCAGGAGGAGAAGAACATGTTGGTGGCCTCGACCTTCCTGACCAGCATATGCACCATTGTGATTGGGGTTTTCAAGTGGAGACCATCACCAATATCTCACATGCTTCTTCTCAGGATTAGTCACAAGAAATAGGGCAAAATCTTTTAGTGACTACTGATGCAATGGCAGTGGCAGAAGCTGAAATAGTCTATGGAACAGAGAAGATAAATCCTATTGTTTCCCACTCCTCCATTTGGGCTAGTCTGTTTTCACGGCTGCCAAGTGCCATGGAATCAGCTTGGTCTGACCCTTGACTCCGAGACCTACTACAGTGGAATCACCAGGTGGCCTAGAGGCCCTGAAAGAGGAATCAGATACAGAAGGAGATATGATGTTACACACAGAGAACATTATCAGCTATAGGAGCAACTAGAGGTCCGGAAAGAGGTTAGACATGTATGATGGAAGACATTACCATTATATGTTCCAGGACTGATGAACATTAGATAGGGATCAATGAAATGAAGAAGGTAATTGGATCACTATGTGAGATGTCATCTAGCTAGCATCACAAAAGAGAATGCCCTCTCATAATTTGGGTTGTTTTGAAGATAGGTGAGGGATTAGTGAGACACAGGTCAGAGAAGAAATGATATATGTAGTTAGGGAAAACAGGAGTCAAGTTTTTACCTCAATTATTTCCTTTCCAATTAATTTTTTATCCCTCAAATTTCTTAAATCAGTTAAAACTTCTTTAATATGCCAGGATTTAAGGAGACCCATGTTTACCTGTGCACAGAGTTTGCTATATCTCATATAATTTTTCCTATTTAAACAAGTTTAAGAAAATAATATTTTAAAAAGCAGTTATGTTTTTCCAGCAAAGCTAAGCAGAAGATGCAGAGATTTTTCATATACTCACTGTACATCCCACACAGGGACAGCCTTCTTTGTTCTCATCATCCCCACCAAAGAGGTACATTTGTTACATTTATAAACCTACAATGACGTGTTATTATTGTCCAAAGTCCATGGTTTATGTTTGGGTTCACTCTTGGCTTATGTCTCATTTATTTCCACACTAGACAGTTCTTAATGTTAATTTTGACTTCACCATTGAAATCTATTTGGGACTGTGTTCACATGTACAAATGTTTCCCACTTGAACGTATCTTGGAAAGTAGGAACTATAGTATTGTAGCATTCATGATTGCAAGATTCACTAGTAGATAATGAACATAGTCCCATCTGGGACAATTAAAGCTTTTCCTGGGACTTACCTGGTGGTACAGTGACTAAGAATCCACCTGCTGATGCAGGGGTCATGGATTTGATCCCTGATCTGGGAAGATCCCACATGCTGAGGAGCAACTAAGCCTGTGAGCCAACTACTGAGGCTGCCCTTGAGAGCCTGTGAGCTGCAACTACTGAGCCAGTGTAGCGCAACCACCAAAGCCTGTGCACCCAGAGCCCTTGCTCTGAAACAAGAGAAGCCATTTCAATGAGAAGCTTGTCCACTGCAACGATGAGTGGCCCCCGTTCACCGCAACTAGAGGAAGCCTGCATGCAGCAACAAAGACCCAGCACAGCCATAAATAAAGTAAATGAATTATTTTTAAAAAAGAAAGAAAGAAACCAGCTCCTCTCACACACCTGAGGGCAGAAATGAATGCAGGTTCTCAGCGGGACAGGAAGTTCAGTGCCCAGTCCACCTGGGCCTCCCTTCTCTGGCAATCTCTGTGCCCCTCGCCCCCACCTCCCTGGAGCTGAGCTCCCCTCCCACTTCCCCTCAAAAAACAGAATCTTTTCCTAAACACCAGGAACACTGGAGACCAAAAAGAAAAATGGAATAATTATTCATCTAGAGCAGTGTCTGTGTCACTTATCAGCTTAATTAAGTGCCTCTCTGAGCCAAACAATTTTAAGACAAGAGTATCCTCTAAGACTCTGTCCCCCAGGTTGGGGTACCATGGACAAGTCTTGGACTGTGTTGTTTCTGGGTCTCTCTCATGGATACTTATCTTCCTTTACTTCTAAATGAAAGTATGATAGCTACCTTCCTCTACTCTACTTGGAATACCCTTCAGCTTAGGAGTGAGAGACCATAGGCTAACAGTCCTCACTACCTGAGACCTGGATGGTCTGATTCCTGCCTGTGGGATATGTATTCTAGGCAACTGAATACATAGCTCTTTATCATGATCCCTGTAGCTGAAATAGCTCTTCCTGGTATCTTCCTGAAGAGAAAGGCATAGAGGGTCAACCCGAACCCTGGGGCTCACATATATACGCAGAAGATCCCCTTCTGCCTGTTGGAAATTAGCGAAGGTGATGATTGCAGTGTTTACGGGTGGGGAGTCTCTATACAGCATGTCTATGATCTATGTCTGTACTTCTACTCAGACACTTTTCATGTCATTCGGCTTCCCCATCCCCTTCTTCATCAGATGTCTTTCTGAGGTGTGGACTTTGACATTCAGGACCGATTCTGATCTGCAGAACTGGGCAGTGGCATTTCGCTACATTCTAGCCCAGGATTTTTTGATTATGTACCTCTCTGGAATGCTGGGATGGTTGGATAGCATCACCGACTCAATGGACATGAGTTTGGGTAAACTTCGGGAGTTCGTGATGGACAGGGAGGCCTGGCATGCTGTGGTCCATGGTGTCTCAAAGAGTCGGACACGACTGAGTGACTGAACTGAATTGGAATGCTACTGAAATTAAAAATTTCATTTTCCAACCCCAGATTTGCATAATCAGACAACTGGGGTTAGAGGGAGCCACTTAACTTTATCTTCCCTCCGAGAGGTAAAACCTGAGGACAGTGTGAAGCTCTCACTGAGACTGGACTCTGGATCATTTCCTTTTTTTCATTTTCATAGTATCTGAGGGATATAAAAACCCACATTTGATTTTGGTAGAAATCTCTACAAGACGTTGCTTCACATTACCATTTGTTGGATAAACACCAGCAAAGCATAACAGTCATGCAGACCAAGTGTAAGAGCATGTCTTCACTCCACCGACCAGGGTTCCCTTCAGGCTAAAGCAGCCGTGTCTGGAGGAGCAGCAGCAAGCCCAGCGTGCCCACGGGGGCTGCCAGGCACTGTGCATGGTGGAGCGGGGACTTTCCCCGGTGGCTTGTACTTAGACAGTGAGAGCGGCGTTTGGAGGGAGCAGCGGTTCTTTCCAAACCTGAATGCCCCAACAGAAAGCTTCAGAAGGTCATAGCTTAAAAAGAGCTAAAAAGTTGAAAAACAAGATGAAAAAACAAAAATCATCTCTCTAGTGTACAGGCTTTTCACTAGCTCACATGACTTTAAATATTCTTCTTTCCTCTATCTTGAGACAGCACCTAAACCATGGCTTTTGGATAAAGGAAAAGAGGAAGAAGAGAGATGGCATCCAAGTCCTTCTCTGTGTTTACTCTTAATGCTTGTCTCTCTGTGTAACTTCTTGATCTCTGTTTTATTCCACTTCAGAAACTTTCCCCAAGGAAGCAAAGGAGAGTGACAGGTATAAAGTCAATAAAATCTTCTATATTGATATCCCCAAAGCAGCAGACAAGCTGATTTTCACGTGTTATTTCACGTAATCCTAGTAACCCAAGTCCTATATTATTTTCTAAGGATTAAAGAAAAATATCTCCTAGAGGTACATGTGTACCTTAGTATTTTTTTGGATGACTGCACCATGCCAGTGGTGGAATATGTGCTTAGTCGCTCAGTCGTGTCTGACTCTTTGCAACCCCATGCACTGTAGCCCACTAGGCTCCTCTGTCCATGGAGATTCCCCAGGCGAGAATATTGGAGTGCATTGCCATGCCCTCCTCCAGAAGAATTTCCAACTGTGATGGAAATTTATTTATTTATTTCCAAAATAAATTATGTAATTATCTGTATGAGAATAAGATCAATGATTTGCTTTGCCCCACAGAGAAGGATTTGATATATTTGAAATAATTATTCTGAGTCAAATAACACATTAATGATTATGTACAGGGACTCAGCTCACCTTTAATTCAACAAACATAAGCTAGAACACAGAGCAAGTCACCTAGATTATCTCCTTCCACATTGGGAGGGATGCCTGGCATAACTGTGAAGATGTTGCTCTAGCTCATTTAACTTTGACTTATCCACATTACAAAAAGAATATGAGATAGTTTGAACTCCTTGCCTTTGAGTTACATTTATTGTTTTTTGCAATCTGGTATCACCCCTCAAGATAATTTTGCGGCAAATTACAAATAATTTTTAGTTCCAAACAAGCCACTTGCATGGTGAGACAGTGACAC